CCAATACACCAATATTCTCACGATGGAAAAAAAAAGTAACAAAAGCTCAAAGATCCACCCCCCCCCACACACACACACTTCTACCCACTCATTACTAGCTGTGGATGTCGCCCTCCAAAGTTAATGTTTATCCTTACTGATTATATATGTGTGCTATTTGTGCATGGCAATATATTTATACAGGGCAGTTGAGAAGGCCAGGAGCAGTCTGACAACAGATCCACATGAAAGCACTCAGGCATTGTGACCTTGTAGCTTCACCCCTGGACTCTTGGAGCAAGCAATTCCTTCAGCTCCATATGGAGAGATCACTAGCCAAAGGCCAGGAAGAGACAACCCAGTTCTCTTTTCCATGGTTCCTTTCCATTTGCTCACGTCTCCATTTGAAGCCTTAGTGCTCCTTCTACCTTATGATAGGTAAAGAAGCCAAGTCCTTTTTTTTTTTTTCTGTCTATTGTGGGGCTTGAACTCTGGACCTGGGCGCTGTCCCTCAGCTCTTCAGCTCAAGGCGAGCACTCTACCACTTGAGCCACAGCTCCACTTCCAGTTTTCTGTGTGGTTCATTGGAGATAAGAGTCTCATGGACTTCGCTGCCCTAGCTGGCTTTGAACCAGAATCCTCAGATCTCAGCCTCCTGAGTAGCTAGGATTACAGGCGTGAGCCACCTGGCACCTGGCTAGGCTATCATTTGTAATCCTGATTTATTCTAAGACATTTACTTGAAATAAATACATTTTGGTTTTTACTTCAAGTAAATGCCTTAGAAGACCCTAATATATTTCTGTTTCTCTTTTGTTTATTAAGTTTTTGAAGAGCCAGAATTGAGTTTTATTCTCATTTATATCTGCAAAATAGGCTGCACCAAATATAGACTGAATTAATCCACACCTCTGGCCAATTATTGAGTATTTGAAACCAGATGCTTGATGATTATTGCAGTAGCTGTTTTAGAAATAAAGAGGAGATGAGCTGGGAACGTGCTTTAGTGGTACAGTGCTTGCCTAGCATGCATGAAGCCCTGGGTTTGATTCCTCAATACCACATAAACAGAAAAGGCTAGAAGTGGCACTGTGGCTCAGTGGTAGAATGCTAGCCTTGAGCTTCAAAAGAAGCTCAGGGACAGTGCACAGGCCCTGAGTTCAAGCCCCAGGACTGGCACGAAAAACAAGCAAAAAGAATAGAGCTATTGGACCAAGAGCTAATATGTAGTCCAGTCCTATAATGCCTTAAGATTTTTTCAGACCAACACCACAGAACTAAACAACAGCATCTCAACCTGTACACAAGGCAACAGAGCCTTTACTATAAAACATGAGGCCATATAGGCTGGCTTTAAATATCATCTATTTTACTTCAATGACCTGTTACTTTACCAAAGCAAGGAGGATCTTTAAACTGCTTGATTGTTACATTAATTAGTGTATGGTTATTTTATAGTCCATGAAGAGAATATGTTTATAGATTTTACTTTATTTTATCTTTGCTGTTCCTGGGGCTTGAACCCTGGACTTGGGCGCTGTCCCGGCACTCTTTTGTTCAAGTCTAACACTCTTTTTTTTTTTTTTTTTGTTGGTCGTGGGGCTTGAACTCTGGGCCTGGGCGCTGTCCCTCAGCTCTTCAGCTCAAGGCGAGCGCTCTACCACTTGAGCTACAGTGCCACTTTCGGTTTTCTGGTGGTTTATTGGAGATAGGAGTCTCACGGTCTCTCCTGCCCGGGCTGGCTTTGAACCGAGATCCTCAGATCTCAGCCTCCTGAGTAGCTAGGATTACAGGCGTGAGCCACCAGCGCCCGGCTAAGTCTAACACTCTTATCACTTGAGCCACAGCACCACTTCCACCTTTTTTTCTTTTTTCTTTTGATTAATTGGAGACAAGAGTCTCCTGCCCAGGTTGGCTTCACACCTGTAATCCTCAGATCTCAGGCTCCTGAGTAGCTAGGATTACAGGTGTGACCCACTGGCACCTGGCCCATGTTCATAGATTTTATAACTATGTTTCAATAAGACAATAAAACTCAGCAACATAATTTTAAAAATAACTCCTGGTGCTGAGCTCCTGTGGCTCACACCTGTAATCCTTGCCACTCCAGAAGCTGAGATGTGAGGGTCTCAGTTCAAAGCCAGCCCAGGCAGACAAATCTATGAGACTTTTATTCCCAATTAACCGGAAACAACCAGTTCTGGAGGACTGCTTTAAATGGTAGGATGACAGCCTTGAGCAAAAAAAGCTAAAATAGAGGTGCCCCGGTCCTGAATTCAAGGACCAATACTGACATAAAAAAGAAAAAGAAAAAAAGTTCTGTCCAAACAGCATTGTTATTTTAATTCTCCTGTGAAAATGCAAGCAGGAATGAGCTGCACAATTATAAGACAATATATGTCTCTCTTCTTATTTCCAATTTAGCTACATGTGATTTTTCGGATAAATTATCCTGTTTTAAATCTACAGATTTAGGGCTGGGAAGGTGGCTCAGTGGTAGAGCGCTTGCCTTGCATGCCTGAGGCCCTGGGTTTGATTCCTCAGCACCACATAAGCAAAAAGAATAAAAAGCCGGAAGTGGCGCTGTGGCTCAAGTGGTAGAGCGCTAGCCTTGAGCTGAAGAGCTGAGGGACAGCGCCCAGGCCCAGAGTTCAGGCCCCACGACCGGACCCCCCCCAAAAAAAATCTAGAGATTTAGCATCTGGAGACGTGGCTAAAGTGGTAGAGTTCCTATCTAGCAAATGTGAGGTCTGAGTTCAAAACTCATTACCACCTAAAAAATTAGAAATTTCATTTTAATCATTTAATTTCTATTCATATTTTCCATATTATGGTTAGATGTTAATATATTCATAATGAACACATTCATAATAAACATATTATCATTAAATATTTTATTGTTAATAATTTTTAGTTGCTAGTTTTCCTTTTATTGATTTTATGTTTCTGTGGTAACAAGGAATCAAATCTAGGGCTTCATGCATAAAAGGCAAGCACTCTACCACTAAGCCACATTCTCTACCTCTTAAATCTCTTGGTCAGTCACGGGGCTTGAACTTGTGGCCTGGGCACTGTCCCTGAGCTCTTTTGCTAGCACTTTACCACCCCTTAAATCTTATACACAACTAAATTTGTGAGAGTAAACTCTAGAATTGCCATGCTGAGGTCCTAAACCCAGCTCCCCAGTAATTAGCTATGTGATCCTGGGCACGTTTATAATCTTCTGTCTCTCTCTGTATCTATGTCTCTGTCTCTTTCTCCTCATCTGTAAAGCAAGTATAATAACATTATCTTGTGATGGCTACATTGCCTGAGTTAACATTTGGAAAACTCTTACAACCTTACCTAGCATATTGAAAGTGCTATAAAAGCTCAAGGACAGTGCCCATGCCCTGAGTTCAAGCCCCAGGACTGGCACAAAAAAAATGAAGAAAAAAGAAAAGATCAATAGTCAAGTTAGCAAAAATTAAAGATACTTCACATGTTAATACAAGTGAAGTTAGCCGATTCTGTGCCCTTCTCAGAAGCTCTCACTAAAACTAAAAATCCAAAGCCCTAGATGTAAGAGCTGTGTGCTCATTACGTGTGTGTGTTTGTGTGTGTGTGTGTGTGTGTGTGTGTGTGTGTGTGCGTGCGCGCACCAATAGTGGGGCTTGAACTTGCAGCCTTGTGTTCTCATTTGGCTTTTTCCTCTCAAGGATGATGCACCATTTGAGCCACATCCATTTCTGACTTTTTGCCAGTTAATTGGAGCTAAGAATCTCTGGAATTTGTCTTCTAGGCTGGCTTTGAACCAACCCTCAGATCTCAGCCCCATGAGTAGTTGGGATTACAGGCCTGAGCCACTGGTGCACAGCTTCAAATGTGCCTATTTGTTCAGTAATTTAAAGAGACCATGAATCAGACACAGTTTTGCCCCCTCTCAGATTTGCAGTTGAAGATCAGAACTCTAACCTACAGTTCTTACATATGAGGAACCCAAGGTCCACAGAAGTTGTGTCTTGCTCAGAGTTACACTGCTACACTACACCAGAGGTAGGACTAACAACTAGGTCTTCCCACTGCTCAATTCAGGCTCTCCCCAATGGGAGTGTTTAGTCACCCACTCTTTTGAACGCAACACCTTTCTACTGATCTTTCCTTTGTACTCACTACCACCACCCCTTCCAAACCTGGAGCAGTGAGTTTGCTTGGCCGCAGTGGCTCATGCTTGTAATTCTAAACTACTCAAGAGACTGAGAACTGAGGATTGCAGTTCAAAGCCAGCCAGGGTAAGAAAGTCAATGAAATGCTTCAATTAACTAGCAAAAAAGCTGGAGTGGAGCTGTGGCTCAAGTAGTAGTGTTAGCCTTCCTTCAGTGAAAAAACTAAGAGCCAGTACTGTTGCAAAGAAAGAGAGAAAAAGAGAAATTGGGGGGGGGGAGTGAATGAAGGAAGGAAAAAAAAGAAAGAAGGAAAAAAGGAAGGAAGAGAAAATGATCAGATCTGAAGTTGAAGTCTTTTGACCCTTCTCTTGCAAGAAAACGAAAGACTACCTTTCCTTCCTCCTTCTTAACCCTTTCTGTGCTAGGGAGGTTGACCACATCACAAGGGGGAAAATGGGTGGCCTCACTTGGGACCGAAAGCTTGCAGTCCCCGCCCCCTGGTGCAGCAGCGAAGACGGATAGAGAGCCACCTGTCAGAGGGATGTGGGCGGGGGCCGGGGCAGCGAGGCCCGCAGGACCGGAGAGTAGACGCCGCTGAGCGCACGCTCAGAGCAGACAGCTCGCAGGAGGCAGGATGCGATAGTCTAAGACACTGGGAGCTGACAGCCAGAGGGAGGGAAAGGTGGTTACGGAGACCAGGCAGAGCCACCACGGGAGGTGAAGGATCGTGGAGGTGACAGCAAGGAGAGAACGCCGCGGCGAGGGGCTGCAGAAGCGGGCCCGGCGGTTCCCGTGTGGACGCAGAACAGGCGGGAGAGAGGGAGGGAGGGCAGGGGCAGGGCGCTTAGGGCTAGCCCAGCTGCGGCGGGGGGTGACATGTCCCGCGAGCGGCCCCTCCGCACAGACATTCCCCGCAACCTAAGCTTTATAGCTGCACTGACAGAGCGCGCCTACTACCGCAGCCAGCGGCCAAGCCTCGAGGAGGAGCTCGAGGAGGAGCTCGGCGAGGGCGGGACCCGGCCCGGTGCCCGATCCCGCGCTCACGCTCCACATCGGGGTCGCCGAGCTCGCTCTGCACCGGCCGGAGGCGGTGCCGCTCGTGCGCCCCGCAGCCGTAGCCCTGACACCCGCAAGAGAGTACGCTTTGCGGACGCGCTGGGGCTGGAGCTGGCCTCCGTGCGCCGCTTCCGTCCCGGAGAGCTGCCTCGGGTGCCCCGCCACGTGCAGGTTCAGCACCAGAGGGACGCCCTCCGTCACTTCGCGCCGTGCCAGCCGCGCGCCCGCAGCCTCCAGGTAGGCGGCCGGGGGCACGCCCCTTCCCCGGGACTCCCCCAGTTGGCCGCGGCGGGCGTGTGGGAGTAGAATTTCCAAGGAGCACCCATCCAGCTGCAACACAGAGCTGGCAACAGCCCTTCCCTTTTGGGGATCCCCAAGTTGGGAGTGGCTCTAGGCCACTCTTCTTTAAAGGGGCCCCATTCTGCCAGCCCGAAGCCGGGTCGGCCTCTGATTGGCCCGCACCTCTAACCACGCCCCGTTGCCTCCTCCCCGCCCCTCTTTCCACCCAGGAGGCGCGCGCCGCCCTGGAGCCGGCCTGCGAGCCCGGTTTCGTCGCGCGCCTGCAGGCACAGCGCATTTGCTTGGAACGCGCCGAGGCGGGCCCACTGGGCGTGGCCGGGAGCGCGCGCGTGCTGGACCTGGCCTACGAGAAGCGCGTGAGCGTACGCTGGAGCGCCGACGGCTGGCGGAGCCAGCGCGAAGCCCCCGCCGCCTACGCCGGCCCGGCCCCGCCCCCTCCGCGCGCCGACCGCTTCGCCTTCCGCCTGCCCGCGCCGCCCATTGGAGGTTCTCTGCTCTTCGCCTTGCGTTACCGTGTGACGGGTCACGAGTTCTGGGACAACAACGGTGGCCGAGACTATGCTCTACGTGGGCCCGAGCATCCGGGCAGTGGCGGAGTCCCGGAGCCCCAGGGCTGGATCCACTTTATCTGAGACGAGGCGCTGGCCCGCCACTACGGAGAAACTCAAAGGCACCCGGGGCGGGGGCGGGGAGGGGGGCGAGGGGAAGCCGAGGGGGGCGGGAGGAAAGGGGGAAACCAAGGTCGGCGGAGGCCAGGGTGGGAGAAATCCACCAAGTTCAGAGAGGTTGGGGAGGAAAAAGCCGGCTGAGTGTAAGAGGGAACTCACGGCACAGAAAAGACATGCAGAAGGGCGCTGGAGGGATTAGAAGCAAACAGAAAGGAGGGTAAAGATGGAAATGGGAGAAAGTACCTCATAAGCGGCGTTATGGATTGTGGAGGTTTTTGATATGTGAAGGCATTCAGATCGCCCCTACTAGCCTTGGCAACCTCGGGTCCTCCATCCCTGCCCATTTTAGCTTTCTTTCATCCACAATCGCATTGCTTAATCCTGGGGACTTGGCCATTGCTCCCTGGATTCCCTTTTCACCCAGTCTTCATGGTCTGGCTGGGAAGTACTGACAGTAGTCAGAGCTTCTTTGCCTCCAGGCAGGCAGGTGGGAATTAAGGCAATTGTAGCCCTGTTCTTTTAGTTAAATAATGGGACACCTAAGAGGTTGGTATACTCAGGGCTTCCAGAAAAAAATGCCAGCCTTATCTTTCTGGGTGCCTTCTTAACCTCTAGCACTTTATGGACTGTTTGTCAAGGGGCACAAGAGTCTTCACCATTGTTTTTTTCCTGCTATAGTAGAAAAGGAAGTCATTGACTAGTTGTATAAATTTGGACACATTACCTGTTTGAGTCCCAGTATCCTTCTTGTGAAATTCGGTCTGAGTTGGGTGATCTCTTAAGGCTACTATTTGACATTTTATGATCTGTGCATAGCACCCTGTAGGTTAGAAGCTACATCCGCTAACCTCATGTGACAGTGAAGATTGCACAGTACCTTCAACCCATGGTTAGGTCCCCACATTTTGGGCACATATATTCTAGAGCCCAGGAAAGATTCTAGCCTTCAGCTACAGAGTATTCCAGAGCTTCTTCCAATTCATTGCTAATCCTACACCCCTTGCTTTTTTGCATTTGCCTCTACAGATTTCCAGCAGGGGGTACTCAGAGAGAGCTTTGGGAAGTGTATCTCCATTGAGAAAAGTAATGCTTGGAAGTCCCAAAATGAAAAGAAGTAATGTTGAGACCTCTCTGGATGAGAAAAGATTATTGGTATACCTGGGTACTGGTGGCTTAGACCTGGAGTCATAGTTACTCAGGGAACTGAGATCTAAGAATTTCATCCAAAGCTAGCCAAGCAGGAAAGTCCATGAGAGTCTTGTCTCCAATTAACCACCAAAAACCTAGAAGTAGACATGTAGCTTCAGTGATGGAATGCCAGCCTTGAGCAAAAAAGCTAAGGGACAGCCAGGCCCTTAGTTCAAGCCCCAGTACTAGCACCAAAAAAAAAAAAAAAAGATTATTGATATTGATAAAAGAAATGGAGCCGGGCACTGGTGGCTCATGCCTATAATCCTAGCTAATCAGGAGGCTGAGATCTGAGGATCGTGGTTCAAAGCCAGCCCAGGCAGAAAAGTTCGTGAGACACTTATCTCCAATAAATCACCAGAAAACTGGAAGTGGCCCTGTGGCTCAAGTGGTATAGTACTTGCCTTGAGCTGAAGAGCTCAGGGACAGCTCCCAGGCCTAGAGTTCAAGCCCCACGACCGATTAAAAAAAAAAAAAAAAAAGAAATGGAAAACCTATCAAGAATAAGAACAACTTAGAAATTAAATGGCACCAGAAGATGGCAGTCTCATTCATATCCTGAGTCAATTAAATGGAAAACCTGATTCTTCCACGACTTCACATTCAACCTGTTGTTCTGGTTAACTTTAACCTCTGGGTCATTTCTTTATTGAGTCCATGCTTATCTTTTTATCCTCTGACCTCTTTGCTCTTCTCTTTCTTCCCTGGCCATCCCTTCTCATCTCTTTTTTCTTTGAATATGTAGGATATTTATTTACCTTTATTTCCTCCTTTTTTCTCTTTATCCTTGTTGAGCTCTGTTATTCCTTCTCCCTTCAGAAGAGGTGAAGACCCTACTTCCTTTTCTTCCAAGACCATGGTTGATCCACCTTTCTCCTTCAGGCTCCTTCACTGTCTTCTGAAGGGAAAAGAGAGAAAAGAAGCAGTTCCTGTTATTATAGATGAACAAGGAGCACTCAGGTAACTAACTCTCCACACTTTTTTTTTTTTTCCTTGGGTCTGGTCGTGGGGCCTGAACTCTGGGCCTCGGCACTGCCCCTCAGCTCTTCAGCTCAAGGCTAGCGCTCTACCACTTGAGCCACAGTGCCACTTCCGGCTTTTTTCTTTTTGCTTATGTGATACTGAGGAATCAAACCCAGGGCCTCAGGCATGCAAGGCAAACGCTCTACCACTGAGCCACTTTCCCAGCCTCTCTCCACACTCTTTTCTGCCATTCATTTCTCAACATATTCTGCCTTCTCCTTTTCTCTATCAGTAAGTAGAAGAGAGTGGGCATATATGCCCATATTTGCCCCTTCTCTCCAGAGCCTCAGTCCTTTGACAAGAGATAGCTGGGTCATTCCTCAAACAGGTGCCCATTTAAACAACATCCTTATCTTTTGAAGAAAAAAGAATTTCATGCATCTTGTGGATCACCTTCAGGTTCAAGTTCCAGCAAAGTGAAGAGAGAAACTGTATTGGAAACCATCACTCAGTGCACTGTTGAGTCATCTGAGGGGAGCCCAGGAAGTCTGGGTCAAGGTTCAGTGTGTAATAATGTCTTGCCTAATGTGTATGTGTTGTTATGTTGAATTAGCAATAATCATAGCTCACACTTAACATTTGTCTGCTAAAATGTATTTTACATGCATGCTCAAAACCTATTGGTCAATTATCATTGTCTTTGTTTTAGATAAAAGTCTCAGAAAAACTTAGTAATTTGTTTAAGATCACACAGCTAGGAAATGGCACTGCTAGGATTTTAAGCCCAGGTAATCTACAGATACTATATGCAATACCATGATGTTATTTTTTTTTCTTTAAAAATAAAATTACAAACATTGTTTGTGTATCATCTCTTGCTAGGAAAAGACCTGTGCCTTTTCATCCTCCTATTCTTGTGAACTGGCTTGGAGAAGGCAAAGCACTGAGGGTCTCAGTCTTCCTCTGTTTTTCTCAAAAACTTGCTGTTGTTACCTGTGCCAGTGTCCCAGCTCCCCAGGACCAGAAGGGGCCACTCTATCTGTCTGCTAAAGAACTCCGGAGTCTATTGATACCATCTAGAAGAATGGATTGATTTTCTTTACCCATTAAGGAATGAAAAGGCAGGAAAATGTTTAAGATAAACCAAGTAAGTTTATTTGAAAGTGAACAGAAAGCAGTGAAAGTAGTAAGACTTTTAGTTCCCTGACCTAGGATGGAATCCAGGGCCGTGGCAGTGAGGAGGTGGTTGAAGGCTTCCGTATGAAACCATAGATCCTTGAGATCAGTTTGTGAAAGGATTTCAAGATGGCTAACAAAAGGGAAGATTTAAGAAGTATAAGTTTTAGCAAAGTTTTATTTTAGTACATTAGGGTTAAGGTAGGGAGAAACAGAAACATTCTAAACCTCCCCAGTAGGAAAGAGGAGTTATGACTCAAAATGGCAATTGTTACCTGCCTTTATTCCTTCTGAACTAAGGGAATACAGATGGTCACAACTAGAAGCCCCCCAACCCTTAGACAATGGTTCTGGGTAAGCAAAAATATGGAGTTATCTCTGGGCCTACTCAAAACAGGGACCATAAGTGAGTCTTAAGCTTCCTTTCATCAGATAAGCCTCTCATCTTGCAGTCTACCCATTTACAGAGAGTGGCCAAGTTTTTACCATTTCAAAGGAGAAGGCAATTTTAGATAGCTAACCCCAATTAGTTTTCTCTGGTCTTGTAACTTAGCATTAAAGTGGAGGGAGCCTAACTGCTTTGTTGTTTCCTAGTTCCAATTTGAGTCTGCCCATTTTTATAGTTATTAAAAATAATATGGGCTGGGAAGGTGGCTCAGTGGTAGAACGCTTGCCTTGCATGCATGAGGTCCTGGGTTCGATTCCTCAGCACCACATAAGCAGAAAAACAAAAGCCGGAAGTGGCGCTGTGGCTCCAGTGGTAGAGCGCTAGCCTTGAGCTGAAGAGCTGAGGGACAGTGCCCAGGTCCAGAGTTCAGGCCCCATGACTGGACCTAAAAAAAAAAAAAAAAAGAAAAACTTTTCTGAGCTCTCTATAAGGAATTGCCTTGCTTAGACTCCCCATTAGTGGGATTAAGTTAACAGTTTCCTCCATTGTCCCAAGGCTAGGCCCTGCCCTGAGTTGAGCTGTCTTCTCTTTCACTTATAATGATAAATGCTACACCTATGGTACTTGGACTTATAAACTGTCAGTGCCACCCCACCTTGTAAAATGGGAGAAAATAATGAATATTCTTGAATATTCATTGTGTTGTTTGGTCCTCTTGAGATTCCCAAAAGTTCCTGCCCGTAATCCTTTGGTGTGTACCTCTCTCTTAATGTGAAAACTGAGACTATGTCTCCCCTGCTGACTTCCTGAGTTTGGACTGACCTGGCACAACAATATTACATAAACCCTACTGTGCACATCAAATGAATTTGTCTATACTTCCTTTCCTCTGTAGTATTGTTTCCAAAACTTATCCATATTTCTTCCAGCCCCACTAAATGAGTACTCTAGGTAGGTCTGCAGCCAGGGACTACTATATCCCTGGTTGCTGGGAAATCTTTAGGGGTTAGCCAGATCTTCAGGGGTCCTGTCGTGTGTTACGTGTTACAGGATCTTACCACCATTTGGGGTAATAGGAAAGTACCAGGGCCTAGCTCTTTAGTTCCCTGGCACCAGCAGCTGCTGTTAAAGAGAGCCACTTGGGAAAAGCTGTTTCCTTTTTGGTTGGGACTGTTTTCTTAGGAGGCCATTTGAGTTACATTCAATAGGCACTATGGAAAAGCAAAGCTCTTTGTCAAAAGCAACCCTGAAGCAAAGGATAAGAAATATGACAGACAAGACCTTTATCTAGCCTAGGATAGAGTGATAGAAGTGATTAAAGGAAAGAAGTCCTTGAAAAAGATCAAGTTCTATCTGGTAACATAACTCAAGTGGTACATAGTACTTGCTAGCATATACAATGCCCTGGGTTCAATCTCCAGTACCCACCACAAAAGGAAATTCTTCAAAAAAAAGGAAATTCTTCAAAAAAAAGATCTAACAGGATTAACTCTCATAATCACCTAAAAGATGAAAGAATTCATTACCCACCACCTAAGGAAAAAAACACCTTACTAATATAGAATGTCTAGCTGGAGCAAGTTTAGATATGTTATCATGTCATAATGGCCAAGTTGTGATATCACAACGGAACACCCACTCTTCCATGCATGGTGTAATGAAGCCAGACATGCTGAAGGGAAGAGTCAGCATGAGGAACAGACACCCACAGAGAGGTAAGCCCAGGGCTGCTTCTCATGGTTTATTGAATACCTAGGGGCTCTGGTCCTGATCTCTTTTGAGACTTCTTAGTTTCCTGATGGGTTCTTCAAAGAATTCTTTCACAAACACATTCAGCGTAGCTTTTTTTTAAATAAGTTTTTTATTGTGAAAATACTGTACAGAGGGGTTACAATCACATGAACACGAGCAAGGTAATGAGTACATTTCTTATCAAGCATTGTTGCCTCCTCCTTTGTTTTTTCCCCTACCATCCCTTCCCTCCCATCTCCCAATCTCCCCAACTGCGTCATCTCCCCCCCACCACACACACACACCTTCAGCGTAGCTTTTGCTTTCTCAGATCCATCGATTTCTAGGACTTGCAGTTCTCTTTGGCTCTTTAGTTCTTCCTAGCTCTGGTATTTCTTAGAAGATGAGACAGATGCTGGAGCAGGATTCTTTTATCCATTTTGTTAGTCCCAGGGGTAGATCCATGTTTCTGAGTGCTAAAAGTCTACAACTTGGAAGGAAAAAAGATAAATTCAAAATTACAAACCAAACTTGGGCACAACATGAGGAAAGATACCAAACAAATTGGTTTTTACAAAGATGATGAAAGGGGCTGGGAAGGTGGCTCAGTAGTAGAGTGCTTGCTTTGCATGCATGAAGTCCTGGGTCCTCAGCACCACATAAACAGAAAAAGCTGAAGTGGCGCTGTGGCTCAAGTGCTAGCCTTGAGCTGAAGAGCTGAGGGATAGCGCCCAGGCCCAGAGTTCAGGCCCCACGACCGACAAAAAAAAAAAAAAAAAGATGATGAAAGATTATGTGGCAAATAGGTTTTCTTCAGTATATTTCATGCTCTTTGATATGATTAGGTAGTATTTAAAGGATAAGAAGTCAGGCACTAATGGGTCATTCCTGTAATCCCAGCTACTCAGGAGGCTGAGATCTGAGGATTGCAGTTTGAAGCCAGCCCAGGCAGAAAAGTATCTCCAATAAACTGGAAAAAAAAATAGAAGTGGTGCTGTGGCTCAAGTAGTATCCTTGAGCACAAAGAGGCTCAGGGACAGCATCCAGGCTCTGAGTTTAAGCCCCAGGACCAGCAAAAAAAGAAAGAAAAAAAAAGAAGAAACTTAACATCATATAGCTCCATTCTGAGGAGCTAGGGAGTAGTTTTAACATGGGGGGCTGGCACAGTTCAGCCCATAATATCATATCTACATGGAAACAACTTATTCACAGAAGTAACTACTAACTACACATAAGTATACCTACTCAAACTAAATGGCTTTTTGTTTGTGGCAATGCAGGGGCTTGAAGTCAGGACCTGAGCACTCTCCCTGAGCTGCTTTTGCTCAAGGTTAGTGTCCTACCCCTTGAACCACAGCTTCATTTCTGGCTGTTTTTGGTAGTTTATTGGAGATAAAAGTCTCACAGACTTTCCTGCCCAGTCTGACTTCGAACCACAGTCCTCAGATCTCATCTTCCTGAGGTGTGAGCCGCTGGCACCTAGCTCCCAAACTAAACATATTTCCTACTTACTTAGCCATTTCCAAAATATCTGGCATATCTAGGGTTTCTATATTGCTAACTGATGAAGGGGAAATCAAAAGGGAAGAGACACCAATCTTTTTTCTTTTTTGTTAGTTGTGGGGCTTGAATTCAGGGTCTGGGCACTGTCTCTGAACTCTTTTGCTTAAGGCTAGCACTGTAGCACTTTGAGCCATAGCTCCACTTCTGTGGGTTTTATTTTTTTGCGGGGGGGGGGGTCCAGCTGAACTCTGGGCCTGGGTGCTGTCCCTCAGCTCTTCAGCTTAAGGCTAGCGCTCTACCACTTGAGCCACAGCGCCACTACCAGCTTTTTTTTTCCTGTTTATGTGGTGCTGAGGAATCGAACTCAGGGCCTCATGCATGCAAGGCAAGCGCTCTACCACTGAGCCACCTTCCCAGACCTTCTGTGGGTTTTGTGTGTGTGTGTGTGTGTGTGTGTTGAATGGTTAATTGGAGATAGGAATTTCAAGGAGGTTTTGGTTTTTTTGTTTGTTTTTTCTGCTGGGACTGGCTTTGAACTGCAATCCTCAGATCTCAGCCTCCTGGCAAGCTAGGAAGTAAGAGCCACTGGTGCCTGGCAAGATACCAATCTTAACCACATTTTCAGTTCAAGTAAGTTTTTGCAAATTTTACAAAACCTCATGTACATTGTCATGTGGCTGGGTCTCTCTCACTGCCTTACAGGAAGCACCTTGAAACTTTGGAATCCTTAGATATAGATGGAGTAAAGGTATCATCCTTGCTAATCACTGAGCCTTGCAAAAGGAAAGAACATTTTTACCAAAGGTGGAGCCATTAACATCTGTATATTGAATATAGTAAGTCCCTATTCTTCACCACAAGTTCCTGAAAGAGGGGCTGAATATTGTCCTGCTAAAAGTGGGTCCCTCCCTTCTCTCATATTGTCTGCTTAGACTTCTTCCTCTTAATCCAGTTCCTACCTCACTGCACTCCATCTTCTAAACCTAGAGGGTGAAACTTGAAGAGGCTTCATCTTAGAATTCACTCTAGAATTGGGTCAAGGGAGGTTCTTCCTTTTGTGGATTATCTCCTTTCCTCCCAGTCTCCAACTCAGGAGTGTCTTGAAATAGAAAGGTGACCAAGTTTTCCACCTTTTATTAGTTCCAATTTCATGATCAGAGGACAGCTAGAGTGACTCACCAATACTTCCAGGGTTAGGTAATTAGTTCTCCTATAAAGTTCCATCCTGGCTTTCTAGCCGAACATGAACACTTTCTAGTTAATCCAGTCTAACAAACTGTTTGGGTCATGAGGGAGCAATCTCTTTCTTGGTAATTGAAGGCTATCACTAGATAAAATGTTCTACTTTTTCCTTCCATCATTACATACAAATCAGTAGAGCATTGTATTATCATGATTTAGGAGAATGCCTTAATAGATATCAACAGTCCTAGCTCACACCCTGAAGAATCATCACTGGTTTCTAACTGATTTCTAATTAGTATGTAATTACCCTCGTTATTATTTTTTTTTTCCAGTCATGGGGCTTAAACTCAGGACCTGGGCACTACACCTGAGCTTCTTTTTGCTCAAGGCTTGTACTCTACCACTTGAGCCACAGTACTACTTCTGGCTTTTTCTGTTTATGTGGTACGGAGGAATGAAACCCAGGGCTTCATGCATGCTAGGCAAGCATTCCCAGCTCCCTATTTTTTTTTTTTTGGGTCAGTGTGGGGCTTGAACTCGGCGTGGGTGCTGTCCCTGCGCTCTTCAGCTCAAGGCGAGCGCTCTACCACTTGAGCCACAGCGCCACTTTCAGTTCTCTAGTGGTTTATTGGAGAGAAGAGTCTCATAGACTTTCCTGCCCGGGCTGGCTTTGAACTGTGATCCTCAGACCTCAGCCTCCTGAGTACCTAGGATTATAGGTGTGAGCCACCAGCTACTGGCTTTAATTTTTTTTTGTAGGGCTTGAACTCAGGACTTGAGCACCATCCCTGAGTTTCTTTTGCTCAAGGCTAGCACTATACCACTTAAACCACAGCTCTACTTTGGCTTTTTGGTAGTGAAGTATCATGAACTTCACTGCCCAAGCTGGCTTCAATCCAAGATCCTCAGATCTCAGCTAGAATCCTCAACCAGATCTCAGATCTTAGAGTAGTTTAGGATTCAGGCATGAGCTGCTGGTGCTCAGCCTGATTTTTTTTTTTTTTTTTTTTTTGCTCTTAGGAGCTGCAGTTGTTACTAAATGTAATGAAAATTAGCGAGACAGACTATTAAGAGAAAATAGACAGCTTTGAAGCTTTGTGCCAGTTCTGGAGCTTGAACTCTGAGCCTGGGCACAAGGCTTTTTAAAGAGGACCTGGGAGATGTCACTGAAGAAAAAAGTGTTCCCAATTTTTATTATGAAGATGGAGAATCCTAAATAGGCTAAATTTGGCCCAGAACTTCATACAGTGTGGGGTAATGCTTTCCTCAAAAGCATTTTATTGTGACCCTTTACTTGACAGGGAAAACCAAACTCCCCAAATAGGAAGCAGAACTCCGAACCCTTTTTACCAGGGCACTGGGAGGAGCCAGAGGGGTCTGGTAGGTTCCAAAATGGTGACTCCAACGTTTCATCTTCAGGAACACCTTTCTGGTATCAGATTGACCCATGAGACGACTGGTTCCTAAGATCCCCCAGAAAGATTTTGGGTGCAAGATATCTGATCCATCTCAAGCACAAATTCTCAGTGGCTTGAGATTTTTTGGGTTTTGTTTCAGTCTTTTTGGTTATACCGCTTTCTACAGCTGAAGCTGCTGGTGGCGGCTAGGCATGGGCTGGGGAGGACAGGGCTCCTGTGTAAGTCAGGAGGAAATATTAAAAAGGACTCCCAGAGGACTTCCTAAAGCAGTAAATGTAGTTATTCCCAGTCCAGACAGGTACAGAGAATTTAAGGGAGAATGATACCCAAAGTACTTAGAAGGTCCTATGCTGATAGGTCGAGTAGGCGAGGTACCACTTAAAGTACCCAGTCCCTGGGGACACCTTCTTGGCTGACCCCAGCCGTGAACCGGGCAACCAATTGCAGTCTTCAGCCGAGACCCTACGCAGCCAATGACCGGTCCAGTGCGTGGCGTTGGTGCCCGCCTGCTGGTACCCGCCAATCAGAACTCAGGCCACCTTGGCACCGCCCCTTGGGCACCCACCCACCCATCAGCCCCGCCTCCAACTCGCAGGAGCTGGGAGGGCTGGACCCCCAGGCTCTCGGGGGCGGGGGGGGGCAGTCCTGGCCCCGACCCTCCGCGCGGGTGGGCTTGGAGCAGGCCGCACCGATTTATAACTCCACTCCCACCCGGAGGCCCTCTGCCCTCTTCCCCTCCCCGCTCCCCCTGCCCCCTCGGCTCATGGTGCGAGGCTGGGAGCCGCTGCCCGGGCCGGACCGTGGTGAGTGACCCCCAGCCCCTGAACTTCCCCTCCCAGCCGGTGCGGTGCTCGACCTCCGACCTCCAGAGTCTCATCCCAGCCGGGAGGAGGAGAATATTAGGTTCGAAGTCGTCCGATTCTCCTTTTTTTCCTCCGGACTTTTTGGTTACTTGTTTCTGGGGAGGGCGAGGGGGTGTGAGGGAGTCTGGGTTGGGGTGCCCTTGGCCAGGGGGGAGGATTGAGATTCGCCTGCCTCCTGAGGCTCACCCTGTGAGTGCCAACAACTTTTTGTTCTCTGACCCAGTTCCGAGCAATGTAGACTGCCTGTGAAATGGAGGCTAGGAGAAACAGTTCCTTCCCAGGCCGCTCCCACATCCCCATGACGACCCCCAGGCAACCTCAACACACAGAACCGGACTGAGAGGTTTAGGAGAGACTGCCCCTGACTCGTGCCCAGCCACAGACAGAAAACCAACCTGGAAACCAGGAGCCCAAGTCCTCAGCAGTTCCCGGTTGTTGCGTCTTAACTCGAGACTTCTAAACTGAAAGAAGACTCAAGCTGAGACCTGTTTGGTAATGTGGGCCTGGATCAGATGTTTTTTGTGTGTCCTATAAGCCTCTTTGCCATACAATTGAAGCTCTTTTATATTATTAGGTTAGGTAGTAATTATAGCATCAATTGAAAAAGACAAAGTTAGGAATTTTAAAGATAATGCATACATATCTTAAGTACAATAATTTAAAAGTACATTTACTTCACCAATCTTTTAGTGCTGAGACTTTATAACTCTATTGAATGGAGTTCCCAATTGCCTTTCTAGTTTTTACTACACAAGGGAGTCTCCTTGCTGCACCCTGAGAACTTTATCAAATTAGGGATGTTTGGGCCCACATCCAGGCTAATTAAATCAGAATTGAGAGGAGGGTGGTCTTTTAACTTTTCCAGGTCATACCAGTGTATCACTATAGATGAGAGCCTCTCAGACACTTTTCATCTATAATTGCCAGTTTTTGTTTCTAGAAAGTGAAGTGAGATTGGATACTTCCCTGGAAGGAATATAAGTGCAACACTTTTGAGATTTTCAAGGCTTATCACCAGATTTACAGTTGACTTGCTCACTGCTAACTTACCAGTTTTTACATGTATATTACTCTTTATGTCTCTGCAGAGTATTTTATTTTTTATATTTTTGTTTTTTGTGGTAGGGTCTTCAGTTTCCCAAATTGACTTAGTTTTCATAGGAACAGTTTTGGTTGGTGTGTGTGTGTGTGTGTGTAAGACATGGGACTTGAATTCAATACCTGACACTTTCACTTACTGGCTAGCACTCTACCAGCTGAGCCACACCTCCAACCTCAGGAACAGTTTTTAATGAAGTATTTTTATAGGCTTATGTGATGTTTAACATTATTATATACATACTGGAAAAAAACACGGGCATAGGTAGGTTTTTTTTTTTGGGGGGGGGTCCTGTTGTGGGCCTGAACTCTAAGCCTGGGCACTGTCCCTCAGCTCAAGGCTAGCGCTCTACCACTTGAGCCACAGCGCCACTTCCGGCTTTTTTTTTCTGCTTATGTGGTGCTGAGGGCCTCATGCATACAAGGCAAGCGCTCTACCACTGAGCCACCTTCCCAGCCTGGCATAGGTAGTTTTAAAATCACACAAACAGTTCCACTCCCACAGATAAACTGAGTGAGTCCAACGATTTGGGTGCACTGGAGAGTACCACTACACTGCGTTGTTGGTCATAGAATCCAATGGGTCAGGAGAGCCAGGTTCCTGCCCAGTGGATCACCCTTTCCATTTTCTTTGATACTTCTAGCAATTTGTCCCTTCCTTTGTCTTCCCATTCAATTACACCAAGCTTTTTTTTTTTTTTTTTTTTGGGTCCGGTCGTGGGGCCTGAACTCTGGGCCTAGGCGCTGTCCCTCAGCTCTTCGGCTCAAGGCTAGTGCTCTACCACTTGAGCCACAGTGCCACTTCCGGCTTTTTT